ATATATATATATATATATAATGTGTGGTAGTCAGAAAAACAACTACATATACATCCCTACAGACCTGTTTCGTGGTTGCCCACTCATCAGGGGATTATTAATGGCAGAATAATGCGACACCATCACTTATATATTACACTAATTGCTAATTAACATGGTTTATGCAGTGCGAAAAGTGTCAAGTCAGCTGTTGCGCAGGAGTGCTTTGTTTCTGTGTCGGCAGGAAGAGACGAGTTTGTTACTTTTGTTGAGTGTTGATAGGTCTGGGTGGCAGATGATTAGGAATTTCTCTTTAAGGCATAGGTTGCATCGTTTGCTTGAGCTGTTGTAGGGCAGGTGGGAAGATAGGATGGGCCAGGTGATGGATTAATTGATGTTGTCTTTCACTGTCCAGATGTGTTTGCTGAGTTCGGTGGAGTTGTGGTGTTTTGCATGTCGGAATGATGAGGTGTGGTTGTAGCGCGACTGAAAGTCGTATGGAGTGAGCCCGATGTATGTGTCTGTCGTGCTGTTGTCTTTACGTGTAATGGTAGCTTGGTATATGACAGTTGGAGGCAGTTTCCGTCTAGAGGGCATGAGTTTTTCTGTTGGCAGTTGCATTTCTTGTTGTTGTTTGTGGTAGAGGTGTCAGTTTTGGTGGTGGCGTGTGTTTACATGGGAGGTGAGGATTCTTTCGTTGTGGTTGTCGATGATTTGTTTTGTATTGTCCATGCAGCTGTAACTAATTTTGATTGTGTTTCTGTTAAAAATTCTGCGGAGCTTATGATCTTTGGGGAAGTGTTTGTCAATCAGCGTGAGGAATTTATGTGTGATGTTAGTGCTGGTGTTCGTGGTGAAAGGCGGGTTGTACCAGAGGATGTTGTGGCGTTGGCGGTTCTTGCGACTTTGTGTGTGTGTTGGTTCGTAGTGGAGTGTGTAGCTGTAACCACTTGTGTTTAATGCTTTCTGGTAGGCGGGAGCGGCTATATTATATATATATATATATATATATATATATATATATATTTAACAATTATTCCACGAGCGCGCGTTGGATATGAGATGATAGATAGCCAACGAGGCGCGTAGCGCCGAGTTGGCTATAATCATCTCATATCCAACAAGCGCGAGTGGAATAATTGTTTTATTAAAAACGTTAAATTAAATTATTAAATTTTATTAAATTTTTAGCTCCCTTTTAATTTTAAGCTGACACGTACGCTTACCATATTTGTAGATTATGGTATATTGGCTGATATACCATAATGGCTAAGCCAATAAAAAGTCTTGAATTGCATTATCCAATGATCTAGTTTTTAATAAATATATATATATATATTGTGCATAGCAATAATATGTATATATATTAGCTGTGCGCAACCTGCCTAATAGCAACCTGCCTGAGGAAAACAAATCAGCCAATCTATATACACATATATTATACATATATATATTGTGCATAGCAATATATACACATATGTATATATACTAGCTATGCGCATTGTGCATAGCTCACTAGGCTTTCCTAGTTTGAGCACTCTGGCATGGCTTAGACGATACCACAAATGTGGGATCGTTCGGGGTAACCATATCGGTTCTCCCCCATCCTAGCATCAGCACTGCACTGATGAGGCCCAGAAGGCCAAAACAGTACTGTCTGCAGTTATATATATATAGATATAAAAAATTCCTCATCATATGCAGAACAAGGGCGGGCACCCTAAACAAAAGGAATGAACTGGCGAGTGCGTGCCGGCACTCAAACTAAATACTTGATAAGGCATGCTTACACCACCAGCTTAAAAAAGGATCGTAAGTCAACCAGTATCTTATGCACCTGACGAGAGAGGACTTTTTAACCCTTTCGAAACAGATCTGTAGTGCGAAGTTTTGATTTTTATTTTCCGAGACAATTGTTTATATAGAAGAAGTAATGTGGCACACAAGGATGAACCACTTCGAGCATAGGAAGACATATACTCATATACTCAATAAAAAATCTAGAAAGTTAAAAAAAGCCTTTCATATATATAGATATAACAATTTAACAGTCTTCGAGCCAACAGGGACGCCACACCAAAAGGATCCAAAAGGATTCGTAGTCCAAACCTCAATAATCAATGAGATAAGTAGTATGGCATATGAATAGTATGGCATAAAAAGGTTACTTTTTAGATTTTTTAGTGAATAATAAATTATGTCTTCCTTTGCTCGAAGTTGTCCGTCCTCATATGCTATACTACTTATCTAAGTATGTATTCAACAATTATTCCACAAGCGTGTGTTGGATAATTATGAGATGATAGATAGCCATAGAGGCGCGTAGTGCCAAGTTGGCTATAATCATCTCATATCCAACAAGCACAAGTGAAATAATTTTTTTATTAAAAACGTTAAATTAAATTATTAAATTTTATTACATCGTTTAGCTCCCTTAAATTTTAAGCTGACGCGTATGCTTACCATATTTGTAGATTATGGTATATTGGCTCATATACCATAATGGCTAATAAAAAGTCTTGAATTGCATTGTCTAATGATCCAGTTTTTAATAAATATATATATATATATATATATATATATAATATAGCCGCTCCCGCCTACCAGAAAGCATTAAACACAAGTGGTTACAGCTACACACTCCACTACGAACCAACACACACACAAAGTCGCAAGAACCGCCAACGCCACAACATCCTCTGGTACAACCCGCCTTTCACCACGAACACCAGCACTAACATCACACATAAATTCCTCACGCTGATTGACAAACACTTCCCCAAAGATCATAAGCTCCGCAGAATTTTTAACAGAAACACAATCAAAATTAGTTACAGCTGCATGGACAATACAAAACAAATCATCGACAACCACAACGAAAGAATCCTCACCTCCCATGTAAACACACGCCACCACCAAAACTGACACCTCTACCACAAACAACAACAAGAAATGCAACTGCCAACAGAAAAACTCATGCCCTCTAGACGGAAACTGCCTCCAACTGTCATATACCAAGCTACCATTACACGTAAAGACAACAGCACGACAGACACATACATCGGGCTCACTCCATACGACTTTCAGTCGCGCTACAACCACACCTCATCATTCCGACATGCAAAACACCACAACTCCACCGAACTCAGCAAACACATCTGGACAGTGAAAGACAACATCAATTAATCCATCACCTGGCCCATCCTATCTTCCCACCTGCCCTACAACAGCTCAAGCAAACGATGCAACCTATGCCTTAAAGAGAAATTCCTAATCATCTGCCACCCAGACCTATCAACACTCAACAAAAGTAACAAACTCGTCTCTTCCTGCCGACACAGAAACAAAGCACTCCTGCGCAACAGCTGACTTGACACTTTTCGCACTGCATAAACCATGTTAATTAGCAATTAGTGTAATATATAAGTGATGGTGTCGCATTATTCTGCCATTAATAATCCCCTGATGAGTGGGCAACCACGAAACAGGTCTGTAGGGATGTATATGTAGTTGTTTTTCTGACTACCACACATTATATATATATATATATATNAGACATATGCTCAATAAAAAATATAAAAAGTTTAATAAGAAACGTTTTGCTCCGAGACCTTTATCAGTTGTAACACAATAACTTACAAACTCCTTAATAGGTTTACAAAGAGGGCATGATGACACATATTCACAAAAACAGTAATTACTACATGAAAAATTATCACAATTTACGAGATAAAACAAACACAGACATATAAAAACTGTCGAATCCACTGAAAATGTTAAGGAACCAGCATTGAAATGAGGCGAGAATTGTACCAAAATTCTCAATCAAAGCTGAGACCAGGACCTCTGATGCCCACTCAATTTGAAAAAATTCTCCACATTAATCACGATAGTTTATTCTTTTTTTTGGAGTGAAATTCCTGGCACTTATTCAAGCCGAAAGGTGCCAGAGAGAACAACTGTGCACTCCAATAATTATGCTTCTTTGTTAATTAAAAGTTTCTCAATGTTACTTGAATTGTTTACAGTCGCCTGCACTTGATCAATGCATTGGAATGAGAAATCGCTTAAATCATCAAATCATATTTAAGTGATTTCTCATTCCAATGCATAGTAACAAACATAAATACATACATACATACACACAATTTACACACATACATACATACATACATACATACATACATACATACATACATACATACATACATACATACATAATGAAGTCCTCGGTATAATGAACGACATTTTTCAGCCCAGCTAAAGTTACCGTAAAATGTATGCCACAGAACTTCAGAGCCTCAATATAACAAACCTCGATACAACAAAATCCTAGTTATTACAAACACAATTTAGAAGCGCTAACGTATACAGACAGCCTGATATAACAAACAAATGTTAACACCTGACCAAAGACAACTGCGAAACAGACCTACAGTGCAGTACTATACTGTAGTGTTCTGTTGTTTAATACTGTACACACTGTTCATGTTCAGTATGACAAGTCAGGCACAAAAGCAAATGAATTTCTGCGCTCTTTCTCTTATGAGAAAAGCACATTTTAACGAAAGACAACATTTGAGGCAATTGGAAAAATTAAGGTTTTGATTAATGTACAGCCCTGAACTGTGTACTGTAGCTTCATATAGATAAGCACTTAACGTCACCACACACACACACACACACACACACACACACACACACACACACACACACACACACACACACACACACACACACAAAAAAAAAACAATAACAATTATTGTTAACCAATTACCTCAATATAACGAACATTTTGATTGCTTTTCCGCAAATTTGTGAATCGAGGTTTTCGATATAACGAACCCTCGATATAACGAACCAATTTCCCCAGTCCCTTGGCATTTCGTTAAATCGAGGTTCCGCACTGTACTATGTTAACGCAAGCCAAACCAAAGTTAACAAGTAAACAATGACAACAGTCATTTATTGCACCAACAACTGGTAAAACTGTATACATACTTTCCACTTTCCTTCTCGGCCGCTAGAAGTACTTTTCCACCAGTTCCTTTGCCAAGGGTTCTAATAATTTCATATCTTTCCATTATCGATTCTAAAGGATTCCTTGTAGTAGTTTTCCTTACTATACACTTATGTCTATTTTTCAGTGCATTGAACGCTTCTTGCCTCTAGTGAGGTCCACTTGGGTACCAAATGAGCACTATTCCGAGTAAATCTCGAGGATAAGAACAAAAACCTTGATATTTCACGTCTTCCATCGGCCAAACAGTAGCTCTGAGTGATTTCCTTTCACCAATCGAAGCCTTTGGTGGAGTATCGTTTTACGTCTCCAATGTAATCAAGCGATAAGCTTAGTAGCCACGCTAGTTGGCAGAAGCTTGGTCACCAAGCAAACTACTTCCTCTGAAGGTTTAGTAGGAGTTTTTCTCCTCGAATCAATAGTTCCGCAGTTCCGTTACTTAAATATTCTCATCTTTCTTCAATTTATTCCTTTTGATTACCTTTTTTAAGGAAAAGGCCTTGGTAATGGCTATTCCAGTGCAACCTCAACCGGTTCAACAGCCGAAATCTTGGGGTGAGTGTGAAAAAGCTACTCAATGTTTCATTTCGATCAACACATGCTTTTGTCAAATGCACAAACTAAAACAAAGTCGTTATCTTTCTATTCGCATCCTTTTTTTCAATTTCTAATGCGCGGCCTTCGTGATTTCTTCTGAATTAAGTTAATGTTTGTTTAAAATTTCGTAACAAAAAGAAGGGATACGAGTACATTAAACGTGCGTGCATGCTAATATTAAACTAGCATCCAGATTACCTTCATTTATGTTGTTTGCGAAACAACACTTCCGAAAAGACCTACCGCAGGGCTCGACATTAACGGTAGCCTACTGGCCACAGACTAGTATAAATTCAGTTTTGGCTAGTGGTTTTTTATTTCCACTGGCCGGTTAGGCTAGTAAACAAACTGAAATTGTCGTAAAATCTAAGATGTCGCTAGCCACTTGGCTGCTAAGTTGAAAAGTTAGTGTTGAGCCCTGTCTACTGTTATTTATCGCCATCAATCGTCGCCTCACTGTGTACATGTTTGCTGCAAAGCAGTTACCAGCTTCGCCATTTCTTTTGTGCGATTGCCGGTGCTTATCATCAACTCTTCTTAAATCTCATTAATAATTAACGCATTGCGTTCTTTCATCGACTTTCTGTTCTCGAATAAATCGCTGTAAATGAATAGCTATACACCCCTCTGACGATACTTTGTGTGAGAAAACTCAGCATTTACCTTCTTTCATTTGAGAAACTGTGTTACTTTTCAATGTATAATTCTCCTGCCTTTTATGTACTTCCTTTTCTTCCAGATGACTTCCAAATTATTTGCTTCCAATCACAAACAATAATCCAGTCGAACGCTAAGTTTTTAAAAATCCTAATTGTGAGGAGTTAGACAAGCTTGCTATTTACAAGTAATATTGCTGTCAAGGATTGAACTTGGGATAACTCAGAGTTTGACAGGGTGCATGGAGAACTTGACCCAGGGACCCCCATCCCATGCAGTATTTACTTCAGAAAAAGTCAAATAATTCATATGAACAAAGGTGAAGGCTGTACTTGAGCTAGGTGACCCATCAAGAAGCAGTATATTTCAGTTTCTTTACATGAGGTGACTAGGAATACCTATCTCAGATGGAATGCCATTCTATGGCAAGGTCAACTTACCCACCCCTCCCCCCTTTTCCCCCTCCCAAGCTACCACACATTTATACTCCTTTTTATTATATGGCTGTGTCTCACAAGGACTGGAAACTACCCAAATCATGAATTTGATTGGCTGAAATCAATATTGAAAGCAGTCTAGATTTTCCCATCTAGACCAGCATGTAGACCGGTCTAGAAAGAAAAAGGTACAAAGAATATAAATAATTGGCATATAAGACACAGCCATAATAATAAATGTCTTATTAACCGAACTAGGTCGGTCTGTATGGGAGAATCTTGACCTCGGTCGTTGGTACAGACCTCACTGTGTTCGGTCTGTACTGGTGACCTCGGTCAAGATTCTCCCATACAGACCTCCCCCTCGGGTAATAAGAACTAAGTAGTGAGAGCAGCATTGAGGGGACTTTGCATTACAGGAACAGGGTTACGTTTCTTTGTATACCATTTGACATATTCTCCTGTCTAACATTTACTTCCTTTTTTCCAAATGACTTCCAAATCATTTGTCTCCAATCTTAAACAAGAGTACAATGAAATTCTAAGCAGTTAAAAATCCTAATTTTGAGGAGTTAGACAAGCTTGCTATTTACAAATTGCCGTCAAGGATTGAACTTGGGATTGAAATTGCATGACCCAGTGTATGATTTTTCAGTCAGACATTTGTTTATTAGATCTATTTCCTCTTCAGAACTAAGTTTGTATGAGCTTCATCGCACTCCACAGGAAGCCATCACTGATGGAACAGAGATTTCTATTTCACCTCGCAGCCTACACAGTGAACTGATGTGTCCTATTTGCTTAGACATGCTAAAAAATACAATGACAACCAAAGAGGTAAGTGGGTTTGGTACTAGAAAATAATGCAAGCTTAGTGTAAGATACTTGGTACATTTTTCACATTTAGTAGAAAGTTCACGGGTGAGATGTACTTTTGGCACTTGCTGATTGGCTAGCTCAAAAGTGAATTATTAGCACTATTCACCTCCAAGTAGCCAAAGAGTTCAATTTCAGACGACTTTTTGTTGCATGAAAAGTTATAGGTGCATATTAAGTTTTTACTCTCAAGAGGAAAGACAAAAATTCGCTAAATATTTTCGCAAGTGTGCAAACAGCCACATGGATCAGATTTCAAAGTGAATATGCAAATTTGGTCGCTTGTGAAGAGATCTCGTGTTACGTGGAATTTTTCAATGAGAAACATGAAGAAAGTGAGCGAGAAATATTTCAGGACAAAATCTTTATTTAAAGCAGTTCTGGATTTGCTGTTATAAGCGAAAAACACGAAATTCTTATGTGTACAAAGCACGCGCAGTGGAATTCATTATGGTTACAATTGTTGTTTTTAACTTAACTTTACAGCCAGAAAATTGCTTAGCGTTAGTTTGAAAATTCTAAAAATACTATGATATGACACAAAATCATATTGTTGCCCACTCATAACATTTACCGGGCCGTGGAATCATCAAATTAGCTGGGCCTTGCTTGAAGTCCTAAAGCTTGATTTCAATAATGTCATGAAATATTAATAACTAAGTAGCAAAAGATATTGATGTTAACAATATAGTAAATTTCTTATTCTTGTTGTCTTAATAAATAATTGTACAAATATTTAACTTCTCTCTTTTTCCGTGAAAAACTCTTTTTCTGATAAATTAGGTTAAAAACAAGGGTGTGCATTATACATGGGTGCGCATTATACACGGGTGAATACAGCATACAATTTTGTAACATATACTAAAACTGTTACCTCAGTATCAGTAAAAGTGGTGGATAGTTGCCTTTATTATTTTATAGTTTGTTGGCTAGACTTAGCGAGCGAAGATTAAAAAGGTTGTCCACGTTGACATCGTTAACCTATATTATAGTAAATTTAATATTATCCCATCAAATCAGGTGTTGAACTAATAAATCATTTTTTTAGTGCCTACACAGATTTTGCCAAGAGTGTATCATCACTGCCCTGAGAAGTGGGTATGTATAAATTAAATTAATAGTGAGTCAGATTTTTTCCCCTTATCCCAAACTTGTGACAAATTCAGAATGACTGTAATTATGGTACAGTATTTATCTATGTCTTCATTTTTATTTTCTCTTTCAATTTTCTTCCACACATGCAGGAACAAGGAATGCCCCACATGTAGAAAAAAGTTGATTTCCAAACGCTCTTTGCGACCAGATCCTAATTTTGATGCTCTCATTGCCAAGGTAAGGGGTGCTGTGTTGTTTTGTTGCTGGTGTTTTTGGACAATTTTTATTGATTGTAACATGTCATATTTTTCCTGTCTACCAACTGATCCCTTTGTTCTGTGTAATTATAATTGCAGATTTACCCAGACAGAGATGAATATGAAGCACATCAGGTTAGTGCAGAATGTAGTAGACACATGGTTGAACATAATACTTGACACAAAATGAATACCCTTGGAAATACACTTTTCAATCTGTGGCACACATCTAGGCATTTGTTTAAATAACCTTAGTTAGCTACCTCCACAAACCCTAAATCAAACCTCTAAGAGTGACTTGCATCTAATTTTTCCTTACAATATTACCCCTGAATCACACAGTAAGGTTCCAAGAATAAAGGAAATGATCACCAGCTAAAGAAGCTCTTGATTGTCAAACAAATTCTCCATGTTAGCACCCTAAGAAGTGTACAGAGAACAGTATGGAGAATATGCATACTGATGTCTGGGTATAAAGGTTCAAGTCAGCTTGGAAGTCAAGGCCTTGATGCTAGATGCTTGTTTATCAGCTGTAACACAGTCATATTAATCTGTTTTGTATGTGTAACCCTTTAACTGCCAGAAGTGATTAACTTGTAACTTCTCCATATAATATCCATACATGATCCATCAAACAGGTATAATGAGAATACTTAAACTTATCAGATAGAAGTTGTTACCTTGATTGAACACCAAATTCTCGTAACCAATTTACAAGGAAATGTGTAGCAGCAAGAGGGAAAAATTCATAATCACATCTTGGGAGTTTGAGTGTTAATGAAGATGTAAGGTGTGACCCTGTAGGTCCCTGAGTGAACAGTACATCAGTTTATTGACAATAGCTGTTATGTCAGTTTGCACTGTACATTTTTTTTTCTCTTTTGAAAGGAAAAAGTTTTACAGAGATTGAACAAACATCATAACCAACAAGCTTTGACAAGCAGTATCGAAGAGGGACTTAAACTACAAGCAATCAACAGAGCACAAAGAGTGGTATGTATAGTACATGAACTTTATAAATTGGCTCATTTGTTTGCAAGACACAGAATGCCATGTCAATCAGATGGGTCAATTTTGATCCATAAATATAGTTCTAGCCAGTATTACACCAACAGTAGCAAATCTGGTGTTATCATGATGTCTTCTTAAGCAATCACTCGGTAAGGTAAAGGTAAACTTTATTTGATAAGTAGGTTGAGATTGTTTGGCAGCCAAAGGGCTGATGTGGACCTACTATACACAATCAAAATTTGACAAACACAAAAGATATCAGTTAACAAAAGAATAAAAGCTATGCACAGGGAGAATACAATAATTATATATACATGCAAAAAACTGAGATTTACAAAAGCCTAATTGAAATAATAATATAATATCAGAAAATGAAAGGCTTAAAAGTATATAAAATCATCTTTTTTGCGTGATCAATGTCGCTTCCTTGTTAAAAGAATGCTCCGCAATGTCCCTGGTGTGTTTCTTTAATATCTGCTTATAGGAATTCCGTTAATTAAACTACACAGTCAAGAGTAAGATTGTAATTTGGTAATATCAACTAAGTTGAAATTGTAACTTGACCACCATAAAGAGTTTAAAGGCTGATGTTTCAAGCTTTAGCCCTTTGTCAGAGCGAATTAGATTGTTTGATAGTAACGCCAGCCAATTAAATTTCCATTGTCTGATCATCCTGATTTGAAATAAGCTCAAGTATTTATCTATGCTAAATTCAGACTAGTTTTACCCAACCAAACCCTACAGATACAGCGTATGTACTTATGGTTCAATTATTTCCTGGTTTAAAATTTTTCAAACCAGTTTTGGTTTGATTTCACAATATGATCCAAGAAAAGCAAAATCAAAAGAAAAAAAAAGACCAATTTGAAAAAACTCAATTATTGGCACTGATTGAAGATGTTCTTTCTTTATTTATATATGTATAATATTTATTGTTAACTTGCACAAATGGAGTTTAGCTACAGGAAAATTAAAGATCTCCTGTCATCATTTCTGTTTTAATGTTTCTTGTTATTTTAGAGGAAAAGATCATCAGATGATCCATCACCAGGTAATGACACATTCACTGATTGAAATGACATGACTTTGTGTATACTTTTATTAATCATTGTGACTTTACTGGGTATTTATTCCTTCTTCCATTTTTGGTGGGTCCAAGTTTGTAATTTTCCATCTACCTTCAGTAGTCTCCTGCAATTTATGATCATTACACACTTTGGGGCTGTAAATATTTGATTAAAACTAATTAAAAATGAACATGAATTCAATGTGATTGTAAAAGTTATTTATACCAGATAAATATATCTAGTGAATTTTTTATGTCTATTTGAATGCCCATGTGCAGTAGCAGGATCAGGAGCCCCTGGAACACCAGGTCCTACTGGCCAACCAGCTGCCGGAGAAGGAGGTAGTAATGTGGTACGAAAGCGGCAGAAGACTTCATCAGATCCTGAGTCAGATGCAAGTGAAAGTGAGTGTATCCTCAGCAAATCACAATATGGAGTCTTAAAGCTCTTTTGCACTCCTTTTCTGTACATTTTTTGGACTTTATGGAATTTTTGCAATAGGCTGACATACTCTCCAAAGGGGGCCACCATATACTTAGTTACTTCATGCTACAGAATGATATAAAATTGACTCAGGCCTTGATCCTTGAAGTTATCAAGGATCAAGGATCAAGATTCAAGGGACTGTTTACTCACTTTTGAGCAGTACTGTACCAGTATAAGCTCAGTAGCCTGATGAGCCACTCAGCTCTACCTGCTGACTTAACCTTCCTCATATATTGACCAGTATTTTACTTGAAGTAATACGAGTCCATCAACACTTCATCAACAGATACCCTAGACTCTACTGGAGAAGCTGCAGCCGAAACATCAGAGCCTGCTAATGTAAGGATCTTGTCTGTCAAAACTACCTGTTGGTAAAACTCTTACACATAGCTACATGACATGAATTTTGATTGCAAATGTTTCTGCTGAGTTCAAATTGTGTTCCGCATTTGTTAATTTATACCCACTGTTACATCATTCTGGTAATTTGAAATGTATAATTATGTACCTGTATGTAATTTCTGATACATGGAGTTTTATTTAATTGTCATCAAGTCTGAAGGTTATAGCTCTCTCTTCCTTTTGTTTTTTTTCTCACACAGGAAATAGAATTGGTGTTTAAACCTCACCCCAAGGATCATGACCCAGAGACAGTAGCCCAACAAACACGCTACATTAAAACCACAGCTAATGCTTCAGGTAAGGTGACCTGAACAAGGTGAAAGATTTGTGTGTAATCTCATTCAGCCCTTGCAATTGCTGAATTTCTGTCTCTCAGATAATTAATTTTGCTAATCCTCTCAACACATAAATTGTGACGATGGATAAAATGAAAGCAGACAATGTCCCTATGGTCTCAGTCATTGTAAAATTAATGTACCTCTCTGTCCCAGAAAAGTGTTTAATATTATGCACTGGTGGCACTCCACTACAGGTTTTTTATTTGATTTGATCAGGGCTCTACACTAACTTTTCAACTTACTAGCCAAGTGGCTAGTGACATCTTAGACGTTACAACAATTTCAGTTTGTTTCTAGCCAAACTAGCAAGTGGAAATCGAAAACCACTACCCAAAACTGGATTTCTACTAGTCTCTGGCTAGTGGGCCACCTTTAGTGTACAGCCCTTTTTAATACATGGAACTGCTTAGTTTGCTTTGTTACATGTACATCAGGAGCTATCCATTACATGGGTTACTGCATTTATCAAGCAACACTCGCATGTACATGAACTGTAATATACAAATTATAAGGCAGAAAGATATCTTCACTTAAAGATTTACTACAGTTGCTTGCAACTATAACTAAGTATTTCATATAACAGTACATTTCATATTATGTTTTACCTATACAGTTGACCATCTTGCCAAGTACTTAGCAATGAGACTTGCCCTCGAGTCACAACAAGAAGATGGAGGTGAGGAGACGAGTCATAAAACTGTCATAAAATTGTAAATGTAATTTTTCATTTGAAGAGTAGCATCCACCTCATAATCAGTGAGAGCAAAATTAGAGGAAGGAGGGGAGTTGTGGGGGAAGTGGAAACATCCAATTCAGAAACCACTCTTGAAAAAAAAAAAATCTTCATGATTGTAGTACTTGACAACTATTGGATAATAAGATTTTAAGATCCAGCCAACATGGCTGCAGTAATGAAAAACTTCCAATTGTCAAAGTCTTTGAGAGCTAGCTTGTATTTGTGAGATTCAGTACTGAGTGGAAGAGCCTGTAGTTGTCATAAAATTAAATATAGGATTCTTTTCTTTAGGTGCTAACCCTTCTGAGGAGAGTAGTGAAGCTACACAGTTCACAATATACATTGCTAGCATGCCGGGACAGTACACTGTAAGTAAACAAACATTATGGCCAGGGGCAGAATGCTGTGATTTCTATATGCATTATTGACCAAGCATGAGGTCAAGATGGCATGATATTTGCTGAGATCCATAAAACACGAAAAAAGGATGCTCATATCTAGCCAACTTGACTGAACAACCATTGTCAATAAAGGATTTATTATATAGCAAGAGAAATTAACTTTAATAAGAATCAAGAATGGCTTATTTATTTCAAGAACCAGGAAAGAAAGCCAACTGTGTTTGGAGCACAATAAACCCAAGAGGATCGTTTAATTTTTTCTTTGTTTTGACTGCCAGTCTGTTTGCAACTTCATTGCCAACATTGTTCAACAGTTTTGAACTTTGTAACTCCATTCCACTCACTTTTTTTTCTTGTGCCGGATAAAGTGGGAAATCCTGTGCAAAAACTATGCAAAACTTTGCCTGCTGCATTGTGAGCGGAGTGCGTAAGTACGATCATATTATGCCCATTCATAAAGAGCTTAACTGGCTATCTGCGGCAAACCAGCTATATTATCAAAGTCCTACAATGGCCTTTAAATGTGTGATGGGCCACACCCCTAAATACGGTAATTCCTAAATACATGTCCACAAAATTCTTAAAGCGAGCAGAGGTGAGCGGTCGTAATACAAGAAACTCACAATTATTGTTGAATATTCCGCTTTTTAAAACCGCTAGCGGCCAGAGAACTTTTAATTGTAGAGTAGTAACTGTTAACTTATGGATTTCTTTAGATCACTCTCTTAAATTTGCGATTCAGTCACTGTCTTCAAAAATCGCCTGAAAACCAAACTACTCAAAGAAATGTAATTTTCTATTTAACAAATGGTAAACACCACAGCATACACTATTGAGTTATGGATGCACTCGGGAGGTTGCTAAGCACGAAAGAAGCATAAGAGTCGCACGAGGCGATAGCTGAGAGTGACTCTAGCTTCTTGAGTGCTTAGCAAACCTCCCAAGTGCATCCATAACTCAATAGTGTAC